ACTAACATCTATCACCAACTTTCACTGCTATACCGTTACGAAGACTTCTACAGTTAATCATCATTAAATCCTACTAGTCCAGTGCCCTCACATATATGATAATATAACCTAAAATACTAGACAGCTCATATTTAAATATCTAGAATATAAAACAGTAGAAACTCTAACACAGGATCAAATACTTTAATCAATTACTACCCCCAACAATGATCTTCTCAATCTTCAATAGCAGATTCACCCTGGTAACTAGAAGTAACTCACATGGTACCAAGGAGGACAGCTTCTATCGCACAGTACATAATCGTGACAATATCTTGAGCAGTCCTTGAAAAATTCGTCTCTACGACACACCCATACTAACCAAATCACGCAGACAGCAAGGTACCATAAGACATCAAGAGAGAAGATGCCTGCGGAAGGCCACTCTAGCACTACCCCGGTACACCCAGACAAATCAACACAGAGAAGCGGGCGAGAGATGACTCTTCGGCATGCAGACTACAATGGCTGCGCATATATAAGACGAATACAGTATTAGACACTGGTCTGAGCAGTGTAGGAACCACTGCTACATGTCTCCACCCGATCCTCACTCATCAATGCCGCCAACCACCACCATTCCACCAACCAGGGAACCAAGAAACAAAATCCAAGACAATGCTACACTACACAGTGTACATATGGTACGGCTTCATCGCCTCTGTACACTTCACAGCTACAAGACACGTGTGTGCGCGTAGATGCCAGACAAATTTTGAGCTGAGATTTCTATCCTGCGTCGGAGTTCAAGACCAGCCTAGGCCAATCTGGCAAACTAATATCCAATTTTCGTATCTAATCTACATATATTATCCAAATAGAAGTAGGCGGAGTCACATCTTGGCCTTGGTATACTGATGCTTTGTAATCCCACGCATGGCTAGGAGCTGAGGCAGTGATGAATTGCCTCTGAACCTCAGGGAGGCGGATGTTTACAGTGAGCCAAATCACTCACTGGCACCTCAAGGCCTGGGCCGTAAAC